GGGGGGGGGGGGGCTGAGAGAACGCAGCCCGCTTGCAAAACTGACACCTGTTTCAGTGCCAAGCAGCAGGGGGAGCCAAGGGCGTGTGCTTTCCGCGTCTGTCCTTTCCTGGATAGATGGATGGATGGATGGATGGTCTGGAAATGTGGAACACAAGGGCCAACGCAGACCAAGGGGGCACGGCCCACACAGTGCCGAGCCCAGCGCGCCACCGGTGTCTCGGATTAAACATCGGTGAATATCTTTTTGATGTTGACGCAGGGGTTGGGGTTATTGTTCGTGGTGCAGGCGGCAGTGGAATTGCCCGTCTTGAAGGGGGTCTGGGTTTGGAAAGCGCTGTGGTTCATCCCCCCCTCTTCGATCACCATGTACTCCGACTTACTCAGAGTGGAGTTGCTCCTGGTCTTCCCGAGCTCCTCGGCCGACGCCGACAGGTGCTGGCAGCTCCCCACGTGCATGTACTGGGCCTGCTCTTCCCCCTCCGTCTCCCGGTGGTAGAAGTAGTTGAAGTTGGAGACGATGACCGGCACGGGGAGCGCGATGGTCAGGACCCCCGCGATGGCGCACAGCGACCCCACAATCTTGCCCCCTATGGTCACCGGGTGCATGTCCCCGTAGCCGACCGTCGTCATGGTGACCACTGCCCACCAGAAGGCATCGGGGATGCTGCTGAAGCGCGACGTGGGGTCGTCGGCCTCGGCGAAGTAGACGGCGCTGGAGAAGAGAATGACGCCGATGAACAGAAAGAAGATGAGGAGCCCCAGCTCGCGCATGGACGCCTTCAGCGTCTGGCCCAGGATCTGCAGCCCCTTGGAGTGGCGCGACAGCTTGAAGATGCGGAAGACCCGCACCAGCCGGATGACCCGCAGGATGGCCAGCGACATGGCCTGCTGCCCGTTGCCCTGGCGCTCGGCCAGCTCCGTGCCCAGCGTGATGAAGTAAGGGATGATGGCCACGATGTCTATCAGGTTCATGATGTTCCGCGAGAAGGTGGCCTTGCTGGGGCAGGCGAAGAAGCGCACCAGCAGCTCGAAGGAGAACCAGATGATGCACAGCGTCTCCACCACGAAGAAGGGGTCGGAGAAGCTGGAGGCGCCCGCGGGGCCCCCCGACGTGCCGTTGCCCGCCGCCTCCGGGCGCTCCCGCGAGGCGAAGTCGCCCCTCTCGTCGCGGAACTCGGGCAGCGTCTCCAGGCAGAAGATGACGATGGAGACCAGGATGACCAGCACCGACACGATGGCGATGCCCCGCGCCGGCCCCGAGCTCTCCGGGTACTCGAAGAGCAGCCACACCTGGCGCTGGAAGTCGCGGCGGGGCAGCGGCCGCTCCTCCTCGCGCAGGAAGCCCTCGTCCTCGCGGAACTTCTCCATGGCCTCGGCGCCCAGCCGGTAGAAGCGGATCTCCTCGGAGAAGACGTCGATGGGCACGCTGACCGGCCGGCGCAGGCGGCCCCCCGACTGGTAGTAGTAGAGGATGGCGTCGAAGCTGGGCCGGTTGCGGTCGAAGAAGTACTCGTTGCGGAGCGGGTCGAAGTACCGCATGCGCCGCGCGGGGTCGCCCAGCAGCGTCTCCGGGAACTGGCCGAGCGTCTTGAGCTGCGTCTCGAAGCGCAGCCCCGAGATGTTGATCACCACGCGCTCCCCGCAGCAGTCCTGGTCCCCGGCGGCCGGCAGCGCGGGCGGCAGCGGCT